CTACTACTGCTGCAACAACAACAACAACTGCTACTTCTCCTGTTGCTGCTGCTGCTGCTACTGCTTCTGCTGCTACTGCTGCTGCTGCTACTGGTGCTGCTGCTGCTGCTGCTACTACTACTACTACAACTACTACTACAACTACTACAACTACTACAACTACAGTTACATAATCATCATCATCATCATCATCATCATCCTCATGCCGCCACGGCGATTTTAAGCTTACTCATACGAAGCAGTTCTCCTTCTTCAGTAAAAGACCCAAGAAGGGTGAGCTCTCAGATACTTCTGATGACACAGAGGAACTTGGTGTAGCAAGTTCAGGAGAAGTCATCGACATGTACAAAGGCCTGTGGTAGAAAAAGGACGTTCAAGGACCAATCCGTCGTTAAATCGTGCATCGGCCTTGCGTATTGCCAAAACCTGCTTCAACAGTTGAATGTAAAGGCTTGTGCTAGAGCTGAATCACGTGGCTTTTTCAAGGGCGTAGGCATGTAATCACCCAGCCAGAGGCAGCATGGCTTGCCACGGCAGCGCAAGGTGGATGCCCAGTCCAACCGCCACTCGCACTTCATTCTTTCAGCGTGCGGGAGGTTCTGGAGTTGCGGTGAGGGATAGGAACTTAGGAACAGTTCACACATCATTTCAATGGCATTGTAGACGCATCAAAAATGCAACATGCATCCAAATTGCATCCGCATTGGAAGTCGCAGCTTGAAACCAGTGTAGTGTTGACGTTTGTATGCCTAGTCGCTTTGTTAACTAACTCGTTCCCGAAACGTCCATCATCCATCTAGGCTAGGCTCACAGGTGAGATGCCAGGTTCGTGACTTGGACATTAAGCGCAATGGTGTCTCCAGACAGTTGAGGCCTAGGCTTGTTCTGACAGCCTTTGGCTGGGCAATGAGAATGCTGAAGCCTGTGTCCTGGCTGTTGCGCCTAGCGCTGGGTATCTACCTGGCAAACACTTTGCTCCCTGCAGTACGTTTTATCCCTCCGACAAATTAGTTGGGGCGAGCATCCTATCGCTTCTGTGCATGAGCTCTGTAACCCCCATCTCTGGGTCGAGCCCCCGGGGAGTAGACGGCAGCGTTGGGAATAGCAAGAACAGTAACATCAACAGCCAGACCAGGAGCAGTCATAGCAAGCGTGATGGCAGGGGTAATCTGGGGTGCGTTAAGGAACTTAAATTAAGTTATCGTAATGGGTACATATATTCATTAATATGGTTTCCCCCATGCAGTAACTTAAATTAAGTTCCGTAACCCTAAACCCTATATATCCCTATGTATTAACAACCTTAACAGCAGCCCAGAAATGGAAGGGCCAGGAACCGAGGCAGCCCTTCTAGTAAAGACTGTGAACCCTAAGCCTAAACAATAATATAATGGGGTATATACAGCGGTTATGCAGGGATACAATAATAGAAAGATGTAGAAAAACAAAAGCGTAATTACTACAGTATAATTAACGTCAAAGACAAACAACTAAACCATTCTGACTACCTGGAGGGTCTGGGAGACTTAGTAATAGTAGAACAGAAAATGGAAACTACTACAGGCTTTAGGGTTTAGGTTTTAGGGTCAGGGGGACTTAATAAGCAGGTTAAAAACGGGGATAACTATAGTTACTATATGGGTTATAGGGGTTATTAACCTACTTACTAAGTGCCCCTGACCCGCTAAGTATGGGCCACAATGCAAGTATACGCCAGTGCCTATGCATAGCATTGCCGGGGCTTTGACTGCATAACTCCTGTCCCAAAGGGGTATGCAGCCTGTGGAATTCGACCCGCAGCTGGACGGGACAATTGTCAAAAATCAGACCCTACATGAGCTGTAATCTAAACTCCTTACAGGCGGTTCTATAGGGGATTCTATGGGGGAGTATTATAGGGGTTATGAAGGGGGGTACTTGGAGTTTAGACTATAGCTCACCCATCATGCGCTAAGTAGTGGTTGTCGTAGTCGTTGTAGTGGTACAAGTATTTAAATTTTCAGTAGTAATTAGTACTACCCCTTCTGCTACTGTATGAACTATGCCATGCCGCATGCCCAAGCCAGTTCAGTTTGTTTGCCTGTAGGGGCGTGAGCTTTGAATAGGTAACAGGTGTGAGAATACATCGTCATGCATGTGCTCTCATGGCGTTTGTCCAGTTCGAAGAGCGACAGCGGTTGAGATGCTTTGGCATTTGCATTCCCTCGTACGCTAGAGATGCCTACAAGACAGCGCAGTGTGCCAGCTTTGTCATAGCCTACTCTTGAGGCGAGCCGAAACAAGATTTAGGCGTGCAGTTCCCGAGCAGCTGATGCAAGTTGTTGGAGCCGGTGTTTGCAAACCAACGCCCGCTCTCCGCGCACACAGCAGACTTCAATCTCAATATTCATCACGGTGATCGTTAAGGTAGTGACAGTGGTTGGAGCCTTACGAGGTTGCAAGACATTCGCTGTCTCAACCAGCTACCAGAGTGAAGTTGCAATGGATTTGTTGGTTGTCGGCTGCTTGGCCATGACAAAAAGATCCATCCAGCCAGAGCGTGTGTGTGCGAAGGATCGCGAAGGCTTCCATTCTCAGATCCAGATTGCCTCAGGGCCTCAATGTCATACTGGACTTTCCTGCTATGTGGCTTAGGTGGAACATTACAGGGACGGGACACAAGGGAAATGAGCCGAGATCACAACTCCCAAAAAGTAAGCTCTAAAGCGAGTAGCAGTATCGGTGTTGCCGTAAGCAAAAGTTTGGGGTTCGTAAGCTACAGGAAGTTGCCCCGTAAGCGCTGTAAGCTCTTGTTCCCGGGGTCTTGCTGATTCATACTTGGAGATCCCCGTCTGCAAGCACCGCAAGCTCTTGTAGTCAAGGCACACCGCCCTAAGCCAAACGCTAAACCTTGGGTTTCGTAAGCTACCGTACGCAACTTTGATACGGCAGAGGAAGCTGGTTAAGGATAAGGGTTCAAATGATGATCCGGAACGCAAGAGTGACAAAAACCTAGCAAAGTACTGACATTTAGCGCAAAGGGCTTCTGAGTCCTCTGGTGACAAGAGACCTGCCTTGCAACAGACCCTTCCACTTGCCCTATTTATGTAGTTTCCATTTTATTTTCCATTTTCTTTTCCATTTGATTCTCCGATTCTCCATTATTGGGGTTACCCACTTGCCCGCACAGGCGTCGACTGGAGATGGAGGGCTTCTTGGCAAGCCAGAGCCGTCTGGAGGAGGAGCGGCCTCTGCAGATCGTAATGAAAAGAGGGGACTTTGGGGTACCTTACGGAGGGACTCCAGGGTATATTGTCGGGACTTGAAATTGGGGATCAGATGGGGCTACTGCCGGAACACCGAATGACTGCAGTTTGTTGGTGACTGCTACTTTAATGCTACTTACTACAGATCGTAGCAGTGATTTCCACCGTGACCTGAGCAAGTCACCGAGTGTGTTGTCATAGTCGGAATCGGTTTTCCAGGCCTTCCCAGCGTTGCTCACCAAGCCCTTATTCGAGTGGTTATGGCACTGTAGGGTGATGAATGTCATGCGAGTGCATGTTTGGCTTGTTCAACAAGCAATTGGAGTTGAGGCTTGGCTTTCAAGTGTTGGTGCTGGCACGTTTGTTTCAGACGACTCTGCTGGCTCCTTCGCCCAGTCAGTGATACTCCCCGCTACACCCACCCTCGTAACGTATTGATTTGACCTGCCCGCTTGCCGGCGCCATGGGCAAGTTGGTACCTTATGGTCTGAGCCCTCAGACTCCAGCTACCGTGCGCGGTCCTGCTGGCTTGTAGCTGAAGTGGCACCGTCTTGCGCTCGCATGCCTTATGGAGGAGCTTGCGCACGAACGCCGTTGCAGCGGACTCAGTTTGCAGGGTGTACTTATGCAAGAATGGCGGCTGGTGTGCTTTGGAAGAGCAGGTCGCTGAGCATGTTGATGCAGGGAATTAAGAAGGCTCGATCATGCTGACCACGTACGTGGCATCGACGAGCTGCTGTTGTGACTGTTGTGCCGAAGCCTGTAGCGGTTCAGAGTTGATCTTCCTAGCCCTCCGCCGACGCGGCCATGCGGGTTGTTGGAAGTTTGCGCCGAGTTGCAGCCGTTGCAGCAGCTACGGCTCCATGGATGTAATTGAGCAAGGGAACCTGCTGGGTTTGCATGCGTCTGCGATATTTCAGATTCATGTCGTTGTGGTTGTTGATGGCCGTTCGTTGGGTTAGATCTGAAAGTTGAGGAGGAGGAGGAGGAGGAGGAGCAGGAGGAGGAGGAGGAGGAGGAGGAGGAGTGTGATTGTGTGAATGCAGGGTAGGCTGACGTGCACAATAGTGCGTCTGCCTGCCTTGCTTCAGGAGTGCCGTTCAAATCTGCAAGTTGCTGTTCTGCCTGTTTAACAGCTGCCAAGGCTGTAGCCACAACCTGCACGACAGCTATGGCAGAGACCAGGCCTGAATCTGCTGCAAGGTTTCATGCGCACGCTACCTGCAGGGCAGAGTTGGCACTCTTCTAGTCATTCTGGTCGTTGTTTAATGCCTGCCCGCTTGATAGCTTGCAGGGATGTCAAGTGTAACTTCGGATAGTAGATGTCGGGCGCCTCGTTAACACTTTTGCAAGTCAAAGGTCCTCATGCGTCCAGCCACATGTCGAATGGAACGTCCATTCCCAAAAAAGCTGGACACTTGTTTTGTCATCAGCAGAGCTTGCCTGGGGATAAAGCATGAAAAGACAGGAGCTACTTAGCTACTTCACAAGGTGGAGTCGGTTCTTGGGGCCTCAGTTTCGGGGAGCCTTGTATGAGGGCAGGCATTGCTCGCGGCTCACAACCTCAGTATTACTGCGCTCGCAGGCCTGGCACAGCTGTATTTGTCCCCTTGCTTGGAGGGCCCCTGGTCTGCAAGTCCATGAGCTTCCTTCACGTAATATAAGGGACCCATGACAGAGCACGTTGATTTCTTCACCTGCTTGAAAGAATTGGACAGAATCAGCTACTCAGCATCCGTTCTGCAGACCTGAAGCCACACAGAAGGCTGAGCAAGATAAGGCCCCAGTCCTGGCGCTTCGACCAGTGGAAGGCGATAACGGATGCTGTGCGCGGCGGCGTGTCGACAGCCAGGCGGCACCGGGGAAGTAACAGCCTACTCGCGCGGCCCTCAAGTTTTAAAGCCAAAAGCTCCTCAATCCCTCCCACTAGTAATGGGCTCCACTCCACCCACCCGCAATGATGAAACATACTGGGGCTCGAAGCATTTTTACAAAGCTCGAGTTTTTGCCTCTTCGGACAGCTGGATGGTTGTATCGGAACTAGTGCTCATCTGTTGCAATGATTCGTGCCATACCGAAAAAGCAGAGGCACTCATACTCTTCATCTAGTGGGCCATGAGCTGTTTCACACACATGAAATCACATGGCCCTCAGTAAAACAATTGAGTTTCGAAAAATTGCCTGTGAATAGGTTTAGGGTTTTGGCCAGGCTTTGAAAGCAACTTTGGTGGTGTTCAGTGCTTCTACTTCGTGGACTTAGAAAGCCTGTTGCAAAAAACTGGGTGGCTGTTAAGGAATTTAAATTAAGTTACCATAATGGATATGTATATATGCATATACATATAGTAAATATTGGGGTTTTCACCAAAATAGCAACTTAAATTAAGGTCCTTAACAGCAGCCCAGTATAGCGGGCCTGGCCAAAGCTCCACAGCACCCCTTACATAGGGCTAGTGGAATAGAAAATGGACACTGCTATAATCGATTGGGGATCTTTAGGGATAATGGAAAGGAAAATGGAAACTACTATTCAGGGTTTAGGGTTGCGAGTAGTTCCCAAAATTAGGGTCCCATTTTAGTACCTCTAGATATTAGGTGCTGCAATGTGATCTAGAACCACAAGGGGCCCAGAACTTTGAGAACAACCCACGTAGTTCAAGCGTTTTGAATGGCAGTGCCTCGTGAGGGTTTCCATAAGTAGGGTGACCCCAACAAAGATAAAGGGACTCTACTGGGAACCCCAAATAGGTAACCCCAAGAATATAGCAGGAATATAATGGAATATAAGGACCCTGGTAGGTATATTCCTATTATATACCTACTATGTTCTTGGGGTTCCCGGTTTGGGGTTCCCAGTAGAGTCCCTTCAAAAGACCCCCAAACACTACAACACTATAATCCTTACTGTTTGCGTCTCCAAAGGGGCCCCCAGTTTTTGGAAGCCTCTAAACCATTATATAAACCCAGTATTTGATTGCCGTTTTGTTTTCCATTGGATTCTCTAAAACGTAAATTTCTCTTTGAATCTTACACAACCCCTATGTGACCCCCCTTGTTGGCATTTTTTAAATATGCATGGGGCCTTGGAGGCTTGTACCCAGCGACTCGGGTGCCAAATTCCAGGGCAACCTGGATCCTAGCAAGCTGAAAGCAGGACTGGTTGAAATCCGCTGTTTAGGGGCTTGAAAGCTAAGAGTCTGGGTGTAGGGCTTCATTTCAGTATCCATGGCACTTCATGCAAGAGTCTGAAGCAGCAGAATGGTCCGCTAGGCCCTAGGCTCTGTCCCAATCAGAGCAGAGTTCCTCAGACGCCATGTCCCTGCTGGCGTAGACATCACGCACCGGTATGTGGGGGGTTCCTCAAAACTTTTGAAGGACCCTTTCGGGGGTCCCCTGTAGAAGGATTATAGTATTCTGAGGGGCTGTCAAAATGACTGTCCCTTTCTAGATTTCCATTGTAGTAGGGGCCCTAGCGTTGAGGGTGTCTCTAAAACCCTCAAGATTTTGTTTTGTCTATTGCAGCATTGTTTTTTCTTGCTGCCTGGTCAGCTGTCCTGTTGAATTGCAGGCTTGGTTCTCATTTCTCCCTATGCTTCGATTAACGTAACTTTGTTTGGACGCTCACTTAGGGACCTCTTGGGATCCCGTTTGCTGCCGATGTGCCCCCATGCGTCCCCAAGGTTATCCAGATTTTGAGAAGCCCATGTCGCGAGGATTTGCAGGCGTGAACCTGGACGTTGGTGAGCTGCCGCGCCCGCATCTCATCCAGCACCAGTTCTCTTGACAGAGACCGAGGTCTGGAAGATTCCCTTCCTACGTCCGACACTTTAACATTGTTCCACCAACTGCACTTCTAGCCAGCTGCCACAGGATGAATATCAAGCTTTGTAGCCTACTGCGCACGCCACATCGCAATTCGCGTGTTGAGCCCACATGTTGAAGAACACATGTAGTTTCAAGCCAGAATTTTGCAACAGCAGACCTCCAAAGAGCAGCTTGGTTTCTGAGACACAAGGGCTGGATGGTGTACTCTATTGCAGGAGTGGAAACGCAGGATTCCAGCGACATTCTGTGGCAAGAGTACAGAAGAGTTCTCAACGGCGTTATCGTGACTTCTGATGCCAGTTTCTTCCTACCTTGCAAGCACGCTTAGATTTGGAAATCATAGTACGTAGCGGCACCCAACTTGCACCAAACCAGGACGATGCGCGTTCATACGGCAGCCCCTTGAACTGGGGGCACCCATAAGATTGAGAATCCCCATACTCCTCCTAGCATTGTCACGACTTCCACCGTCAAGCTTGAAGCTGAGGCTCACTGATTTTGTTGGCCTAAAGCTTGCGGCTTGGACAGCAGGCCAGCACTGAATATCTATTCCAACAGCAGGAGGAGGAAGAGTAGCAGCAGTAGTAGGTAGTCGTTGCAGCCGTAGTTGATGTAGTAGTGGTAGTATGAATAAGAGCAGAAGGGGAATATCAGGGACTTTGCTTATAACTTATATAAAGCAACTTGCCTAACATTTCAAGGCATGCTGGATATGCGCCTTTTTTGGGCTGCTTACCCGAGGATGTTGCGAATTCAGACGGCCGAGAGTACACGGTGCTGTTGAAAGTGCGTGGCGGTGAGGCTGGAAAGATGGTGGCTGGAGTCTAGAGGTTAAGTTCTAGCAGTAGCTTCGCCAAAGTCACTGGGAGTCGATTGAAAAACTGGCAGCGATACGATGGCACCAGTAGTGGCCTGTCTTGGGTTGGAAGGTTTCTGCGGCTACCTCGCCGACCTTACTGATTAGGGCTCTTGCGAGAAGACAAGGAGTACTGACTAACTGCGTTTCCAATTCATCAACCACTCTTCCCAAGATCATGCCGCCGCCGCCGACCGTCACCACTCCTCCACACAACAGTGCAACAGCAGCAGCAGCAGCAGCAGCAGCAGCAGCAGCAGCAGCGCCTACAGAACACGATTCAAGGATTCCTTTGCGTCACAGCCAGCTTTGTCAAGGCTGGGAGCTCCTACCAAGTCCGCTTCACCCCAGAGCCCAACCAGAGCATGGAGGCCAGCATACGATGTTGAAGCAGGTGCAAGAGAACCTTAATAAAGTCTGTATAAATCCTCGTGGCCACGGTGGATGCGGGTATCCTGCATAGTCACTTCATGATGTGTGCACTAGTTCGCTTTGACATGACTGTGGCCTGGATGGCGTACCTAGATCGTAAGATTCTATGCAGCATCCAAGGGAACCTGAAGGGTTAAGGTTTCCTTTAACGCCTTGAAGAGCTCAACTCTTGCGGCAGGTCTCCTAGATGTCGAGGCAACATGCTGCTCTTCTTTTTTCTAGTTGTGGTTCAGGCAAGACCCTAGGCCGACTGGCATAGAAAAAAATCAGAAGAATAGGGAAGGGCGAAACAGTGACAATCCTACCTGTATGAGTCAGGAATGGCTGGGTCACCAACAAAAGAAGCAGAGGTTCGCAGAGACCCCATTTACTCTCGCATGCTTAGTCCGAGACCTTCGTTTCAATAAGAGCGAGATTTGCTTGCTTCAGGAGCCCAGGCTTGCATGGTACTCTTTGTTTCATCGTTGTTTGTTAGCACCTGCTCGCATGACTCGTATCTGTCTTTACTTTGCATTGATGTCATCACTATCATTAAGCTATCATTGTGGTCCGTGACAGTTATGGCCGCAACTCTCAATCTTATTGCAGTGCTTCTTCGTGTTCTTGCTGCAACAGCTAGGCGCCATTTGCGACCTTCGCTGCCTTCCGGCGTGGGCGCCCGGACCCCTCAGCGCCGCAGCTGCGCGCGGCAGACGTGGGGACGAGACTCAGCTGATGTCAGGGGATTTCCTGAGGTTATAGATCCACGCTTGGCGAATTAAGTCCAAGCCGCGGTGGTGGAAGGAGCTTGTTGCATTTATCGGTAGACTGCATGACCCCCACATCCCAAAGTATGCCTGCATTCGAAAATTTTTCTCAGTTTCGAGTCAGCAAGCCCTGTTGAGGTGCGGTTTGGGAAGGCCTGCTGTTTCAAACAGATTGCGCTTGTGTACGTATCGGGCATGGCCTAGAACCGGAAGGGCGTTGTCTAAGACAGCCTCATTGATTTCGGGATTGTGCGCTTGTTGCTGAGGATTGCCGTGCAGATTGCCAGCAACTTCGAGGACCACCGCACTGTTTCTGGAGCAGGTGCAGCATGTGAAGGGTCATGAGCCATGACCTGTTGATCTATATCTGCCGGGCTGAAGTAGTGCCTGGGCGCTCTCTGCAGACTGTCAGGTGGTAATTTGCAAAGCGGCACAAAAAAGTGTACTGATTATGCGGCACCACTTTGCTTAGATATGTCATGCCTGAGATGGGGACACCAAAGCGAGGCCCCTGAGCCTCGGAATCTCCAAGGCACCCTATGAAACAATGCTTGTAGAATCCCCATGAGCGCAAACTTCCCAGATGGTACTTGTAGCATTAGACCCTAAACATATACTGTAGCAAGTAATGACCAGGAGCAGTCCGGGGACTATGAGCTGGAGCTGAGGGGCATCTCTGGTCTTGGAGGGCCAGAGATACATTCTTAGTTGGAGCTTTTCACCACAGCATAACCTTCAATTCATTCCCCCAAAGTCTCCAGGCATACCTGGAGTTCCCAAAGGTACCCGCGCCTCGAGAAACCCAGCCCGCACTAGGCCACCAGGCCACCCGCAGCCCACAGTTCCAGCTTAGAGCCTTGGCTTCGCTCACTGAGCGACAGACCTGGTGCTGTTCCTTGCAAAAAGAAACTTCAAAAGATCTGCAGCCCAGCCATGGAATCTAAGCACTAAGCGGCCTTGATGTAGTGGGATTGGCGTAGGCGCTTGGAGAGCATGTTTTGGATGCGCTCACCTGCTGTATCCGAGTGTGTCATGGCCAGTAGGTTATAAGGTCGTACGAAACAGCTCTGAAAGATTTGGATGTATCTAACAGGCGAGGCAAGTTCCGCGTTGAGGGTCTCAAAGGTTGCAAAAGCACGATGCCCTCAGCCTTCACTGCTGAACCTGATCAGAAGAGTCAGGTTCGCAAGCAGCAAGCTCTGTGCCTCATCCAGCATTGGCAAGCAATGGTAAGCATGCCCTCTCATGAAGCCTTCTTGCAGTCATTCCCTCTAAACGTTTGTGGCTCAGCCCACGTGCGATTGTAATGGCCAAGGGCGCAACAGCTTGGAAGAAGAGCTGGAGGCGCAGCGTCACATCCGCCGTAAGTTTCCAAAGTTTCCGATTCAGCATGCCTGGTAGGATTTCCGCTGGATCCCTTTTGATTTTGGATCGCATGGGCAAGAAGTCTGAATCTAGGTAAGAATAGGAGGGTAGATGCCACAGCTGGCCTAAGCTTTGCGCAGTTTAGGTTCATCCAATCTACATCTAGATCGTCATTTAGGGCTTGATTTATGCACGTTGGCGACCCGGTCTGAAGCCAAATAAAACAAACGGATCGACAGTGACAGGATGCCCCCAGAGTAAAGCTGCTTTTGACGCGGGATGATTACGGGGCTGCTCAATTCGCATGTGAGGCACAACGCACATTTGTCAATCCCAACATGTCAAGGCTAGGTATCCCAGTTGCCATCGTCCTATGCCCGCTGCTTCCTGGCAGGTCCAACAGAGGCTGCGGCAGCAAGCAGAACAAGCTCTGCTGGAGGCGGGCTGGGGGGCCCATTGCCTCCGCTCCGAGATCTTGCAGTTCCCTTTCAACCCTGGAGCTGGACGATTGCACGCATCTCTGTAGATCCCCGTGCTCATTCCCACGAAGCTGTGCAGATGTCGAGCTAGCTCAAGGCAAGTTGTGAAAATCCTGTAGGTGGAGAAGCGCCTGGAATCTGTTGAAGTGGAGCAGAGAAAGCTCTGCCTCCACCTCAGCCTTGGGCGTGAACGTGGAGCTCGCTGCAACATGGGTGGCTTGCAAAATCCAATGTCACCATCGCATTTCTGGATGCGCATATTGCAGCTATTCATGGTTCCCAGCAGGCGACCCCCTGCCCAGAGCTAGACCCCCCAGCAATTTCAAGCCCTAGCGAAAGCCCAGCAAGCCCTAACCTCTACAGCATTGCTCCCAGCTTTGAGCTGAAACACATCGCAGAAGGCAGCTCAGGTGCCGTCGAGAGCGCCCGGGCTCAGGGTTGGACAGAGCCGTGGCCTCAAGCAAAGTCGATGAAGAGCTTTGTTGTGTTTTTTGGTGCATTTTCTGTACCCAGAATGTTAGCTAGAATGGGAACTTTGGACATTTCTCAGAGGAGTCATGCCCTTGTTGACAATTGAGCTTCTGGAAGTTTGGACGTATGATGCCTGAAGCAGGGTTTCTGTCAGCTCCGGGCCAATCAACGTGGAGCTTCGAAAAGTTATGGTCCGAAAACGAGCAGCCACCAAGGGTTACGCAGCTGCGCGAGGACTTGGGAATTTGCAAAAAGGGGGTTTGAAGTGTCTAGTGTTTGGGTATGTTCATTTCCAGACTTGTTTCCAGTCCTTTAGGTTGGCTTACCATGGAGCTTGTGATGCTGTGATTCAAGATTGTACGACGGTCTATTCTTCCTGCGTGGCGTACCGCTTCCCGCTAGCGCTCTGCCTTCTGAACCTCCCAGATCCTGTCTGTTCAGGAGATTGCTGAGCTTTCAGCTGCGCTGGAAACAGAGAGGGCGCATGCAACACAGCTGCAGCACATACTATTAGTAGCTGTATTTGGATCTTGAGGCTTTAGTTGGACCCTTGACGTGCGCGTAACAAGATCACATAGACTAGCTAATGCCGGAGATCCAGGCGGTGAGCTCAGTACAACTGGTTAATTTGATATGACACCCTGTCGGTGGCCCTTGGCATGCCTTCAGAGTGAACACCATGCTTCTCAGGTAAGGCAGCTGGAGGCCGGCCTGCTACTGCAGCCCAATCCACTGTCGGCTGTCTAGGTTTGAGGTTCGGTAGTCTGGCATGGCTCCAAGTCGCGTGTCCTCATAGTTTCAGAGCAGTTTTGGCTCTTACGTCTAGCTTGCAGGCTGCGCAGGGAATGGGCGACCATCGCCTCCAGGAAGCGCTTGCTAGTGCCTCAGGTACACAGCTTGACCATTTCCAGAAGAGTGAGCATCCAGCTAGGTCGTTGAAGTGCACGGATAAAGCCACCACGCCCACCACTGCACAGTGCAACAAGCTAGCCCGAGGATTTCGTGGTTCAGAGCATATGATACCTATTGGCGTGCAGCGCAAACACGGAGAGATTTCCAGGGCTAGCTTACACTGGCAGGATGTAGTACTGAACGATGAAGAGGATAAGAGATCCACCTAGGGGCTATTTCGTAAACCCACTTCAGGGTTCAAGCAACGTTGCCAGAAGAGGCTTGCTCAAAGATTGGCTGCAAACTGGCGACACCTAAGCTCAAGCGGAAGCCCCACTTCCGAACACTTCCCAGGCTCGCGAGCAGTCGGATCTTGCTGCCATCAGGACGTGCGCGTGTTGCAAGAATAGTAGCACCATCAAGAAGAGTCGGTTCAAGAAATGTCAAAAACAGCAGGAACGACGACAACAGTATGTCATGCGCTTTGCGGCTGCCAGAGCGCAACCTTCGTGAAGCTGCGCTGCCTGTCCAGTAGATGTCGGTAGTGCCGACTTGTTTCCGGGAGCATGCCAGTTATAGAGAACATGGTAGCCTGGCAGTCCTTTGACCCACAGCGCCTGGACTGCAGAACCTTTTGCTGAGAGGAACCTGTTGGCGAAAGCTATGAAAGAGAGAGATGATGCTACTCGGATGGCACGGCAGTATGGGCGCTTTGGAGATTCGTGCCCAATTCTGGAGAACTCCACGTGTTTGGATTTTTTTCGGGCTCTGGCATGTACTGTGCTTGTTGAAGCCAGGGCATCTTCTACGGAAAAGCAAGGCTTAAAGCCTACTGCTTTGTCACAGCAGGATAAATCATAGTCATAGCAAGAATGGTACTGGTACTCAGATTACAAATCCAGGTATAGCACTGCGGCTTCCCTTTCGCTTTCGAGGTCGGTTTTGTGGTTTGGATGTTGTGTTTTCTATTTTAGGGGGATCCAGCAGACATTGGCAGGGACGGCAATCCCAAACCCATCAATACGGTCGCAGCAAATTATCGTAAAAGGGGGTGAAGCGCGGATACCAATGGTAACCCTCTGTGAAAAGAAGGACGCCATAAAAAAGCCACACTCAAATTGCTACATTATCCAGAGTCTTAGGCATAGTATATGTCGCGGGCCCTGGCCAACTCGGCGAGGCAGCGGAAGGGTAGATACAATACCCCTAGCGTGGTCGCGAACCCAAAGGTTATAGGTATATTACAATAAGATCCCCATATACCCCATATTCTATCTACTTGACTATAATTGAACAGGCGCCATGCCAAACTTCCTCTGCACCCGTCAAGCCGACGAGTTGCAACAAGTATTTCATCAAGATGAAGACGGGCCTTCGACCTGCCAAGCCCATTAGCGCCGGAGCCTTTAAAGCAAAATTGCAAGCTTCTGGTTTCTGGCAGAACAAGCCTGCGCAAAGACCCTAAGCCCCCGAAACTCTGCATGAGCCATAGTCTGAACTCCTTAAAGGGCGCTCTATAGGGGATCCTATAGAGGAGTATTATAGGGGTTAATGAAGGGGGATACTAGGAGTTTAGACTCTAGCTCACATGATAAGCTCCTGAACCTTTTTGAACCAACCACGACCTCGCAAGCAGAACTTTCCTCAGGCCTTGGAAAAGGCGCTCCTCATGCAAGATGTCAGCCGATCTGTGGAGGTGCGGGCTCTAAAGATGACATCGCTGAAAGGTATACAATGGCAATTGGGATACAAGACCATAGAAACTGATGTTTTTTGGTGGGTTTCATCAGTTCACTGGTTGTGTCAGTATTTTACTAGGGCCATGGGGTGGAGGATTCCTTTGGAATGTTGGTTCGAAAATGTGTATATATATATACACACACATAAGCATGGTTTGTTGGGTACGTGCCTCAAATGTAAGTCCTGACCTGTGTGCTTCTTGCAATTAGGCTACATGTTGTCGCCTTCGGCTTGCAAGAGTGATTTGCCTGTCCATGCCAGTTTCCATTGTCTTTTCCATTTGATAATATCCGGGAATATACCTTACCCTTATAATACCTTAAAGTCCCTCCCCCCTCCTAAACCCTAAACCCTTTCCCCTTATAATACCTTAAAGTCCCTCCCCCCTCCAGATTAATCTGTCCAAATCCCCGAATCTGAATGCTGATCTCAGATGGACTCTAGGGTTAGAAGCATGGGCACCTATGGGTACATGAAAGGTTATATTGTAGGTATATAAGGATCCCAGGGTTAAGGCCCCTACTAGGGGCCCATGGTTTCAACCTAAACCCTCAACCCTACCATACTACGGGCATGGCTTCAACCTGACAACGTGAGACGGATGCTGCACTAGAGGAGCTGCACGAGCAGCTCGCCAAAGCCATGACTGACAGAGAGAAGCCCGGGCAGCCAAGCAGTTTGGGATATGTCGGGTTTACATGAGCCATAGTCTAAACTCGAGTCTAAACTTCTTAAAGGGAGTTATAGAGGGGAGGGATATTAAGAGTTTAGACTATATAGCTCATATTGGCTACTGCTCACCCAGTAACAGTTTATACTTGGGGTCGTGTTAAGGGCTAGATATACTTACAATACAAACATTGTCCAGGCGTCCTGTAGGGGGAATGGAAGGGAAAATGGAAGCTTCAAAGCTCGAGAATCACATGGAAATGAAATGGACACCGGGTTTCGGCTTCCCATTCTGATTGCAACGATTGCAATCGCATTAGTAGTGCATTTCTTCCACAGCACCTGTCTTGATAATGAAAGCCGTTTGTTCAATCTATGTCTTTATTGAAGGGGGGATGGGTCCAAAGCGAAGAATATTGGCAATTTGAGCCAGGTACGGAAAAAAAAACATGTTATGGACACCTGATGTTCTAGGCTCCTAGGGTCTCTGATAAGTACAATTGTAGGGAACATTCGTGTTTCATAATACGCCTGCCGCTTGCCGCGGCCGTGCTTGGCTCTGTTCGGCCCAAAGGCAGCTGTCCTTGGCATGCCTGGCAGCATGCCGGCGTACACTGCATGATAGCAGCCTCACGTTCGTCCCCTAAGCCCTAAGTTTGCCCAGTTCTGCGGCGCATGGCTACCTACCGTGTCCAGTCGCTAAAATTTAGTAGTCGTGAAATTATGGAGCAAAGTGTCTGGCTGGTGAAGCGTTGGATGCATGCTCATGAATGTTGAGGAGTTGCTTGAAAGTTGCACCTAATGTCCATGGCTTCACTGCGCAAACAACCCTTGAACATTCCTTTGAAGCATTGCGGCCCTTGGTCCGAGATGGCCGATGACCGCGTGTATGCTGCTGCCGACCTGCTATTGGCCGCACTTACAACCAACCCCAGAATCCCCTGTAACATTCCTAGATAGTCTGCACAAGACTGTCACACAGGACCCTTGTGTAATGCTTCCCATAATTTGCATCTGGGCGTAGATTTGTGCAGTAAGGCTGGTTTGAAGCTAAAGTTTCAGGTTTGACCAAAGGCGGCAGCTGTTCTTGAACCACGATGACACCGCTTCGCAGTTTCCAAGCTGCCCTGCATTCTGTAGTGCTTCCTATCCACCGAAAATCTTAAACCCATTTCCCGGATGAAGCGCTACGACTTTATCGGGGCTTAGCACGAAACAGCTGTGAAAACATCTCAGCAGCACTTCAGAAAATCTTAAGATCTTTTGTCGTTGTCTGAAGCTTGTCTCAAGCCGCACAAGTGTCACAAGAGCGTCGAGAAAGGCATCCAAAAAAGCATGAGAAAACTCAGGCTTGAAGACACATATTATTACTAGTATTAACTGTTAACCGGCATTATTATTATTATGATTATTACGATTATTATTCGTATTGTTATTCTTAGTAGTAGGATTACTATTATCAATACTACTATTATCTGAAGTGGCTGTAGGATTTGGGCTAAGGCTTCGCTTTCGTCCGGGTGTGTTGCCACCCGGCCTCGGGGAGGCGGCAGAGCCTGAGACTTGCCAAGCAAAGGGTTGTTACTATTATTGCTAGTAGTATTATTACTATCAGTATTAATATTAGTATTCTTATTTGTATATGATTAGTAATAATAAGTATATTACCATTAGAATAGATAATCTGCTCTTCGGTTTGACTGCAGTGGGAGTCTTCCCAAGCACTCATAGCCAGAAGGAACTCCTCCCCATAATCCAGCCATGAGCCTAGAGTTGGGAAACCTTCATATGTGCATGTGCAGAGCAATGATTGTAGGAACCTCGGTGATGAAATGGAGGCTTCACTTATCATAAGAGAAGATGCACGAGTTGCTTGATTGTTGTTGACGTGATAAGAGACTGGGGGCATGTAACCCCGCCCCCTTTTAAGAAAACTGAGTATTCCCCGTTCTTCGTAATTTGATGAAAGACGGAGCAGATGTCATGTTGGCAGCGGCAATGGAAGGACTTGAAGCTCGCAAACTGGATGTGGGGCTATACTTTCTTGCTCGTAGATCGTCATGATACTAGGTGTTGAACTGTTGTGGATCGCTGATGTAGAGACTGGAATATACAACATGCTGTTCGCAATTTTGCCGTGCTTCAGCGGGCTTTTCTATCTGACAGATTAGGCTTGGGGTCAGGGCTCATCTGATCCCCCTGTCTTTCTTGTTAAGGTCGCAGTGTCTGAAGATTAGCAAACTGAGTATTTCCACTGCCCGCTACGTGTTCGTCTTTAGCAGGCATAGGCTCTTGTGATAACTTTTCTGTCCTGTTTGTTAGCACGCCTCCCTGGTACCAGAGGGGGGATGATGAATCTTATGTCTCCTGTCAGCATCATTATTGCAGGAAGCACTGCCACTATTGGGTGACTTTCTGGCAATTACTTCCTAGACAAGTCGGGAATGGGCTGTAACTACAGGATTCCTTGAGACCTGATCTGCAGAGCCAACATCCTACGACCTAAGCCTTGCACACCCGGAAAATCGCGCCTTCAATGTGACATGTCTAGAAGGGTCCAGAGCTGAGGAGGAGGATGCCTGCTTCTCTGACACAAAAGCTAAGGAAGAAAAGAAGAATTCGCTCGGCTACAAGGCCGTGCCTGAATTTCTCGGCCTCCAACACTTGACAGCCATTAACTAGATTTTCGCAGCCATAGGCAGGAAGCAAGAAGGTTTGCTGAACTGAAAGAACGGTGCAAGGACTCCAGAGAAGCACCTGCTTTGAATGGATGGATGTAGTCGTTTGTTTCAACCAAGATTCATTCGTAGAAATCTGGCTTCTACCTTCTGCCTCCAAGCCCCTTTAGCTACTAAATGGCCTGCCCCACAGCAATCGGGGGATAGCAATAGCGAGAGTAGTAGCAGAAGCAATAAGCAGCATAGTGACAATGAAGGCAGCAGGTGATGCAATTTTGTGGGTTACTGTATTGGTCATGGTTCTGAAGTAGTACTTACTTGCTGACGGTTTAGCAGCAACAGCAGCAGCAGCAGCAGCGGCAGCGGCAGCGGCAGCGGCAGCGGCAGCGGCAGCGGCATCGGCATCAATAGCCGTAGCAGTAGCAGCGATGGTGACTGGCGGAGGAAGAGATGTTGGCGTGGTTATGGTATAAGGATGAGGAGGCGGAGTAGTAGCAATCGTTGCTTCTACACACATGGAGGTCAAGGAAGTTCAATGCGTCCTTCCAGCCAAGCCACCCTTGAAGCCGGGTCGCCAAAAGGCAGGGCTGCGCTGACAGGGGTTTGGCAGGTGAGTGGAGACAGTCCTGGCCAGAGTAGGGAATCTCAATTCGTAAGATGTTTGTATGATTACCTTTCGATCTGCTTCCTACATGGCGTCACTGAATACGTAAGCTTTGCAAATCCATGGGTCAGAAAAGGGATGTAACTTATGGACTTGGACTCGGCTTCATGTGCCCTTGCAAAGAGCCAGGGGGTCAGGTCTGGGGTATAAAATACGCTGGGTTGTCCAGCATTCATGTGTTCGTGCTTGAGTGTGCCGAGGTATGTATCAATAGATTATATATATATATACATGCACGTGATTCCTGCTAGGCATGTATGTGTATGTGTGCCTATTATGTACATATGGATGCATGCAAATATGTATGTACGTATGTATGTGTGTGTATTGGTGTGTATGTGCTCTTGTGATCTCGCATGTGTGTGAACCGTTTATTGCATCGACGCATGCACGCACGCAGATGCTAACAGCCGGCTTAGCAAGCTTGAGCATCAGTATGGTGAGTGTGTGTGTGTATGTGGCTGTTTCATGCATATCTGAAAGCTCAAGTGCACCGCAAAGGTTTGTTTGCACGTTTTTCTTGTGAAAACGGCCATGGTTCATTCACTGAGCTCAACCATGTGGCAAAATTAATTGAAGCCTTCAGCCTTGAACTTACAAGCTGGTTCTGAGTTGTTTCAGGCGACAAAAATGTCGACCAGAAGGAAAGACAAGGCGCGATTTGCTGCACTACCCGTTCTCAACCAGCCCATTGGGGCCGCTGATAGCTAGCGCCTCCTAAGGCTATACATCGCTCTAGGTATAGGCGTCTTGTGCGAAAGAGGCCTGTCTTTGCCAGAATGCAGATGCAGCCAGCAATCTGGTTTCAGCACGGACCACAGAAAGACAACTTGGCTCACCCCGCTGCGATGGCTAAGGTTCGGGGGGATCCCGCAGGCGTGCAAGCTTCAGATGTTGCATGCTGCAAGGACTGAGCAAGTGCAAGCTAGAGGGTATGCATGGCAGGCACTTCTGCCGCTGTTGTCTATTGTCGGGATTACAAAAGTATAGCGGACACACTGGCCAGGAACCACTTGGCTAATTTGACAGCTGGTTAAGCGTTGCTACTCATGGGGTCCTATGAAGCTTTCCTCCTCGTTCTTTTCCTTTACCTCCCCATCTTATGTCTTTCCACCCTTCTTTGTCTTTCTGTTTTCAGGCGTATTTTCTTGCTCTGCCTGCCTGCTTGAAGGACGTGGGTAGCCTCAGGACGCTTCTGTGGCAGGTGGCCTTATGCTCAGCGGGGTTTGGATTTCCTTTTCAGCAGGGGTTGCTTTGGGCCTTCTGGCATTCAAAGACCATCCTCATCTTGAAAGGAAGAAGGACTTTCGTTGGCGATCTCTTGGTCTCTGCAAGAGCTTCGTAGAAAGCTGAGGCTTTTGCCACGCAGAATATCGAGACGGCTGGAGGCTTTGAACACTGTGGTGTGAGGCGCGACAGAGCCTGGATGCTCACACCCCCCACAGTCCACATTGGCTACCTATTCCATGTCAGGCCACAGCTTGGGATTCGATTCGAGTGTTCGAAGTTGCTGTAGCTTCTTCAATCTGTGCCGCAGCCCTGATTTTGAAGAAGGATGTGCCTACATCTGAACAGAAGTCCTCGATATCAGACCTGTGCAGCAGCCTCTCATGTGAAAGCAGCGTTGGCAGGGGTACTCGTGGTGAAGGAACGTGCATCGCCATGGCAACTTCTAGATGCAGCTTCTGTGAGCTGGACGATGTTTCTCAAGTGAGAATGCTCGAATACTTGGACTTAACGGAGCTTTTGGTCGTTACCTGCAGCTGTGGGCCCCAGCGTAAGCGCTTGCCTTACGTCCAGCGGCTGAACCTTACCCTGCCATCGCATTGCAACACGCAAGTGCTTGCCCTCCTTCCCTCTGTCAAGACTGTCCGTGCATTTGTAGTCCGGGGCACCTCGCGGCACCAGGTCCACTACGCAGAGTCTGAGATTGCTGGTCGCTTACCCTTTGCATTAGCAGCGCTGCCCAAGCTTTCCGAACTCTTGCTCATTGATCGTGATTCATGTTGGCACGGCCAAGAAAGCCCGGAGGATGTTTGGGATGTCATCGTTGATTCTTGGAGTGGTTGATGCAACTCCTTGCTTCTGGTCCCAAAGTTAATTTGTTGGCCTGCAGGGCAGTAGTGAAGTGGTCATGTAGTTAGTTTTCTTGCGGCTGCACTCAGGATCTGACCAAAAGCCTAGCAAACGCGCGCAAGAGCATGCTATTGCAGAGCCTGGAGTGGATCGAGCTCGGCGCCCATTGTTGCCCGCAGTCCGAGCCCAGTCCAGAGTCCGAACGCCGGCCATTGGGCTGCAGTTGCCATGAAATGGTGCGAGCGTTTCCACTTAGCAATGTGATTGATTTTGTCGCTTCCCATGGCCTTTGCCTGGGCCGTTTGGAGATATTGAAAGTGGCGCTGAGTCGTGGGGTTGATATGAACCGTGCCTTCGCAGATGACCGGCGCTTTACTCTATTCCACTACGTGCTGAAAGAGCTATCTCCGTGTAATGGATATTCGGACAAGGAGTTCGGTGAGAGAGCCGACAAGTTGTGTACTGCTGTTGTTCAGCACATGGTTCAGGCTGGCCAGGCAGCTCCAGATCAGAAGCTTCTCGCAGACGCGTCAAGCGGACAGCTTTTCAAAGACATCTTGGAGCCGTGGACTGCTGATGATTTGCCTAAAGGACTCGAATACCTCAAAGACTATGCCAGTTACGTGTGCCTAGGCTTGCGGTCCATGACATTTTACTTTTCCAGGTTTTGTCTTGAAGCTGTCTTCGGTCCTTGTATAGCATCTCGTGGAAAGTTTTGGGTTGTCTGCAAACCAGTAATCCAGGTGCGGATGGCTGCTTTCAGGCAGGACGACGATCTTAATTGTTTAGGGTTTAGGGTTGACTGCTTGTTACTGTCACGGCTCATGGCCCGGGGCACAATCTCTCCAGGCTGCTGCCCCAAGGCTACTTCAACAGTTTGCAAAACCAAAGATTGCCACACTCAACTCTCTGCCCGGCAAACTGCACATGACCAGATGCTGGACTCCACAAACTCGAGAACCATGCACGTTCTGCCAAATCTTTGGAACTGCAGTCCCTTTTTGAAGTCCCCTCCAGCGGTAACGCATGGTCTTAACTCCTTAGGTTCATTCCTTAGGTTCATCATGTTTTCATTCTTTGGGGAAGGACCGGCTCATGTTTCAGCCGACAGGCTTGCTACTCGCATCCCTCTAGACTGAAGAGCCTGAAGGCTTGTCAATGTTCCTGACCGTCCAATCTCGAGCTACCTTACCTGTGAGTAAGCAGCTACAATCGTACCACCGAAGCAATATCATGGCTACTATGTTTTTTTGATGGTCTGCTATGGTTTCTGTTCCAATCGCAATGATGGCAATCACTCTTCGTGCCCATCTTTGTGAAGGCGAGTGTCGGCCGCCATTCAGCTGGGCTTACCCCGAAGATGCTGTTCTTGACGACTGATGAGCCGGTGTCCTTCCTTGATCGGCACCTTCTGAACTCGTAAATCATCTGGGAACCATGCTGGACAGCATCGGCATTTGCTGTGGCAACAGACGTGCTGCCGCATGCCGAATTGTATCTTGGTTGGCATGGCCCAGAAACTACTCAGGACACTCAACTGGATACAGAGTGGGTCTGCAGGCTTCCGCATGTTTGTGATAGAGATGGTTCCGATTTGTGCGTGGGTTGTATTGGTCCTTGTGGGTAAATGGAGGGATTAGTTTCGGCGCCCACCCCACTTAAACTTGGGAGTTTCGAAAGTTGTCTTGTCATCTAAGGAACTCGATCTTGGGGCAGGGCCTTCTAGTCGTTGACAGGATTTGGTGGAACTTCCTGGAACTCGATGGTGCCATTTGCCCTCGGGTTTCGGATTCGCTTTTTCACCCACACCACGGCGAGACGGGACACAATGGCCCTGAGGAACTCGGGGAGCAGCGGGGGCTGAGATTCGCTTCCAAGGATGCTCACCTTCCTGACTCTCACTATAGTCCCCGTTAAGTAGATAGAATATCCTAAAGCCATATTCTATCCAGTTCACGGGGACTATCGCACTGCTACAGGGTAAGTTATTGTGCTCGGCGCTTGATGAAGCACAACCCAAACGGGAGCATCCAACCAAAATTGGTAGACATTGGCGGCAGAAACACGGGTAAAATTTGGAAAGAAGTACTCCATAGTATGATCGCAGTACTTACCGCAAGACTTAATTACATAGGCATTGCCTATGTCAATGCAAGAATGTGGATGTTCAAGATGGTAACAGTGGTTGCAAACCGAGAATCAAAGTAGTAAAAGCCGCAATAATATCAAGCAATACGAACAACTTTCTGGATTATCTACTTGGAGGGCCAGGGCCAGTTGACAAGCAAGTCAATACTGGGGATAGGTATGGTTACCATATGGGCCTATGGGGTGTCAGGGTTACCAACCTACTTACTAAGCTCCCCTGCCCCTCCAAGTGGAGGCTGCTGATCGAGATGGGTGCCGTGGCGGAGCAGATCCGAGACTTGCTCGCACAGGAGGCAGAGCCGGCAGCCAGAGATCTTTCTGAAGTAAGCCAGAACTTATTGGTTCTTAGTAAGGAATGAGGGACTATCGTCCCTATAGAATCCCTATACCTAAATAGCATATCCCTTTATTCCCTACTAAGAACCAGTAAGAGGAGCAGGGGGGAGCCACAAGCATTTCAGAGCACGATTCCTCGCTGGGCTGTGGCTTCATGCTCTAGGTCTAGCATATCGAGTCTAGAGGATGGACATTGGCGACTCTCCAGCTCATGTTGCAGTGCTGTGCTCATGGTTCTGGTGGTCGATCCCTTCGGCCAGTACTCTGACCTCACCCTGCAATTTGCCAATGAGAGATCCCTTCTACTAGTACTCGTGATGATATGAGACAGGTTCGAGTGAATCTCTGATGTCTTGGCTTTAGTTGTCAAGTTCCTTTCCTATCATGATCGCAATTCCACACGCTGCTTGTCCTGGATGGGGATCTTTTTTTTCGCTTGTCACTAATGAGATGTTTTTGTTCATCACCTTCCTTAGCAGCACAGCACTTAGTGCCTACTCAGTAGAGCAGAAAACATGGCAAAATTGTGCCCATGGCCGGAGGGTGTGAATGCGGTTGGATTGCACAGAAGCTGAATTCAACTCCGTTTTGGCAGCATGTTCACCGCCCGCAGCAATCAAACATCATTTAGAACACGCTACAGTCTCGTTGAGAAAACTAGACTGCACATCCCAATGCCTCCGCAGTAAACCCTACTCGCTAAAGCCCCACCCGCTAGGGCCCTACTCGCTAAAGCCTATTTGCTAAAGTCCATCCGCTAAAGCCCAACCTCAGATTCCAGCAAATCGGCCTGGATTTCTGCCAGCTGGGGCCTTTTCTGGGTCCTCATTCGAGCCCTACACCCTATCCGCTAAACCTTTGATTTGTGCCGGACTTCCAATAAAGGGGGGGCGAGGGGAACATGGGGGTACCTTAATAAGGATTAACAGAAGCCTCAATTAGCCTTAAGTAGGCTCTATTTGTCCTTGTTCAGGTGCCCCCACCTCCCTTACACCCTCCAGCACACCCCCATCATCTAAGGAGAGATCACCTCTCGACAGCGCGAACGCCAAGCTGCAATCAGCATCCAGAAAGGTTGGGCAGACCTGCAGGAGCCCGAGTTTTAAAGCTGTGTGGTTTTGACTTATTGGTTCTGATTAGGGAATATGGGAATATATTTTATAGGAAATATATTCACTTCTTCCCTGCAAGTACTATGAAGCAGTAAGTTTGCAGTTTTGAGCTTTGGTTAGGACTCACCACTCTGCCGGAAAGAGTAGCTCGATTCCTCCTTGCCCTGCTACACCACAGGATGCTGCATGACGGTCATGCCTTGGTAACACAATTTCGAGATTCTTGGAAAATTATGGTATATTGTAGTATATTGTAGAATGTTACAGCATATTATGGTATATTATGCCTGTTCATCCCAGGGGTCCCCATGTTTCACCCCTATAGAGCCTGTATCAACATGTTGAGCACGAAAGCTGTCACTTAGGTGTTCAGAGCTCCCGCTGGTCTTTGTCCTAAAAACTAATGAAGACTGTATCGTATTTGGCTGCTATTCACGATCGTCACATGTAGCTGTGTCACGCAAACCCTAAACCCTAAACCCTAAACCCTGTGTTCTGATACTAAAAACAGTCCAGCCGTCGAGGAGCACCGAAAGCTCGCAGCCCTTAAGGCCAACGCCAGCTGTGCACTTTCGAGTTCAGGGTTCTGTGGTTTGCGGTTCTGGCAATTTAGCAATTGATTTAGCTACCCCAACCCCTATAAGAAGGATCCTTTCACCATGAAATGACTGACAGGGTCTCAGTTTTGGGGGGTTTGTGGCTACGACGCCAAGATCGATCTGGGGCTTAGGGGTTGAGGTCTTGAAGTTCAGTTGAACCGGAAGCCAGAAGGTTCACCGTGCTTGGGGCAACATAGTGAGGCTTTGCTACCAGCATGCAAGAGCAGAGGAGGTGTTGTATTCCAATGGAACAGTATGGCAAAGAGCAACACGGGGCGGGCATGATGGATGGCATATTGTTTGGGTCGTGCAGGATTGAGGCGCTGGACTTTCAGACCTCAAAGAGGGTGTAGGGTTCCGAGATTAGGCAGATTCTTCAAGACTAGAAGGCGCGGTCTAATTTGGAAGTCAAGCTGCACGCAATGCCGATTCGTGGTTAGAGACTTTCAAGACCGGGGCAAGATTGGATGGATGATAGATGCCGCTGACGCATGTCTCACTGTTGCAGTGCAACCACTGACCCCTCCGTGCTTCATAAAGCCCAGATTGAGTTCCAGCCAAACGCGGATCTGTGTCTAGATGTCGCGTGCCATCCGCTCGTCAGGCCCCAGCAAGCCGGAGACAGCTTGATGAAACCCCAAAACTAGGGTCCTTTTGTGGCTCTTAGTCGTCTCTTATGTTTAAAACCATGACTGGCGCAGTTTCGAAATTCATCCCGCAAGGAGCTGGAGCGCCTGGAGGCCCAGCGGGGCGCCCCGCTGCCGCTCTTTCCAGTGCCCACGTCTCCCTGGTGGCCTGAGGCGGGGTTTATGAGGCTTGCCTTAGGGTCAGCGCTACAATACTATCATTATATCATTATCTTTGTACTGAGTGCCAAGGAAAGAGAGAGGCATAAGAGAGACGCCTTCGGAAGTTGCAATCTTCCCCCGCAGACCCCCAGGCATGTTCTGCTCCATGGCACCAGAGCCTAAAGTGCAGTGGTGCAAAGAGTGTTCCTGTGCCTAGACCTTGATTGCCGAACAGTATGGCTCCCAGAATTTAGCTGGACAACGCGCAATTTCGATTCCGTTCTAGAAGCCTCATGAATTGATAGCGCGGGTTTTAGGACGTCAATCTGTTACCCCGGTGATCTCCAGCATCTTGATAGATGACCACATGGAACAAGAGCGTGTGTTGCATTTTCCGAGAGAGTTGTAGGCCTTGCATACCCCGCTTCTGATGGCTACTTTGAATGGTGCACCTTTGCCTCAAGCCATGTCTTGTTGGCAAAGTGTTGTGGCTCCTTTTGCTAGTGCTGTGCGACGCACATCTCCCTCACTTCTTGTTGTTTGAGCTGCTTCACATCCAAAGCTTCTCGTGGCTGTAGTACGCCCTCACTCACACCTTTGGCTGCCAGGCTGCTCCCGCCGCTGCACCTGCCGCTGCACCCAGCTTCCCCAGCAATGCCAACGACCTCCTCAGCCAATTGCTCCTCTGCGCTTTCATGGGGGCTGGGGCCCAAACGCCAACTTTCTGCGTTCGGAGATCTTTGACAGGTTTCCTGGTTGCCCACCTAGTCGCAAATTCAGCATATAGACATACTTTGCCATTGGGGCTCGCGGCGGAACGGGCTGAGGCTTCGCGGCTTCTTAAGGGTGGGTTAGGTGTCGTGTGGTAAGATGTTCTGCCAGCTTGTTGAAATTTCCACACAGAAGAATCCCGAGGAAGCAGGGGGCACCAGCAATGCCACCACCAGTCCAACCGCCACAGCAACTGGATGGCCGCTCTCTACTGCAGATGCTCCGCGGTTTGAGGTTTAGGTTTTTCTTTGTGCTTTGTCTGGACAGCTCTACGATTCTTGCTTAGGATGGTAAGGTGGACCAGCACCCAAACACACGAGGCATGATGCAGCGAACCAAACACGAGCTTGGCAGGAGATGCTTCGCAAACCGAAGGCAAGGCAAG